ACCGGATTCTCCAGCTCTCGCTGTGTACGACTTCGTACCTGCAGAACTGCACCTGCGCGGACTTCAATCTGCTGCCAATAATCCACACGCGTAGCTTGGTAGTAGATCTCAAAAGGCAACCGGACCTGAGTCTGTGTATGCACCCAGTCGATGACTTCAGACGCATATTCATATTGCTGCGCTCGCATCACCACATGGACCTGGTGCACCTCAATGACTACTTGCACTACCAGAGGCAAGACTGAATTTTCCAGACGCTGCACCACCAAGGTGGCCGGCACGTTCTGGCACAATTCAATCAAGACTGGAAAAGCTCTGGTGAATGCGTGATCAAATTGGCAAGCGTATTCCTCACACCAGTCTGAAATATGATAGTTTGCAGCTTGGTCATCCAGCACCCAACTGGGACAATAGACTCCGCTTGTGACAGTCGCACCTCTTCGTAGAGCTAGCAAATGCACCAAGATCTGTGTATGGCCTGGTGCACCTGCTCTGTCATATTCACAGAGATAATATTGTCTAACCTGTCTCCAAGTTGTGACCCAATCAAAGTCAGTGTTCCTTGTCTCACCACTGAAACCGGAAACTGCAGCTGACCGGCCTCTACTTGTCGAGCTTCTGACCAGATCTGACTCATCCTCTGCAGCTCCTCTTTCGCTCGTAGGACGTTGCATCATCACCACTTCATCATGCAGATCCTGCTCCTCTGACTCAAAAGAGGCACTGGTAGGATCTTCCTCAACTTGCAAGAGTTCATCTACACTATGTAGGGAAGGTGGCAGATCATCTGCATCCCCTTGGTGGAGAACATCCAGGCGCGTGCTTGGCAGAGGTAGGACATCAATACACTGTAGCTGAGTCCATAGGAGAACTTCGTTGGGTCCAGCGGATGTCAAGCTCATCGTGCTCCAACTCATAATGGACACACGTGGTCTGGATCGCCTGGTCATTCTATCAGGTCCAAGCCATGGAGTTGGAGCTGAGCTCGACAAGTCAGGCAGGTCAGCGAACGCCTTGCCACAATATGTCGTACCATGCAGAGCCAGGCGCGTCTGAGCCCATGTGAAGCTTCTCTTCTTTGCGACACTGATCCCGTGGGATCCGCTTTGCCCTTCGCCCAGTTGTTCAGGGGGCGCTTCATTTCCCCAATGGTAATTCTGCCCCTTTCAGGCAAACGCTGGGCCGTTTGCCAACCCTGCTCTTTCCCACTCCCATTTTCAAAAAATATACCAACAAAGCCACGGTGCGGAGTGGACCCGGAATTGGGACCGGGCAGGATCGTGGAGGTGTGAAGCTCGCGGCAGATCACGATCGCAAAGATCTGCCAGCCCAGGGGCCCGGACCCCATGCAAGCAAAAGACCGGGTGGCCATCAAACCAGGTCACATCGCAGGGACGTGGCCTGGACATAGCCTCCTTGACCCTGAAAGGCTGATACATAGAAAGATAGATAGATAGATAGATAGATAGATAGACAGACACACAGACAGATAGACAGACAGACAGATAGATAGATAGATAGATAAATGCAGTAGATAGATAGACCATGCCATAAACCAAAAAGCTTCTGAGCGCACTTCTAGACTCGCACGCCATTTTGCAACATCCTCGCGGTTTTTCGCAGTTGGGCAGCTACCAGTTGAGCTAACCAGCTCTCCGAGCGAAATACGACGGATCACTGGAACCGTTTTCGAGAAACAGCTGGCCATCGCCATCGTCCCGCTCGGTCCGATCGTCTCAGTCGGCTTTGGATCGCTTCCGCCGGGCCTTGAGCTTTTCGGGAATCTTGGACAACTGCTTCCAGCTCATGATGGCAAAGACCGTCAGAATGCAAAGGAGCTTCAATAAGCTGAAGCCGTGACCTAGGCGAAGCTCTAACTCAGCAACCAACTGAAGAACCCCAGAAATCGAAACTCTAAGGTGGAGGCCGAAAAAGATCAAGGAGATGAGTACGGACAAGAGTTGACGCGCAGTCATGATCCAAGTAAAGGATAAAGAGCCAAGAACACGGATGGCAGAATAGATGCAGAACTGGCCAAGAGCTGACACCACACCCAGGGCAATGATGCGTTGTAAGACTTCGGGGTTTTCCGAGGCCAAAGAAATGGAAGCACGGATCTTCGGCCAGCTGTAGTATAGGTTGCTTGAAGTAAAGACCATACCCAGGAAGTTGCCACCCACCATCATCTGCAATTGAGTCAGATTGGGATACTTCGTGTACAAGTTCGTCTGCCACTGTGAGGTAAAGCTATCACCAATAAAGAAGATGCCAAGCATCATGATGCCCATAAACAGCTTCCAGTTCTCGCTCATGGCTTGATCCTCACTGCCTTTTCCTCCATGAGTATCTGCCTGGACCATACGACCATGTCACAGTGACACATGCTTGAGACAGGCCTACACCATGGAATCGCTGAAAAGTTTGTCTTCTGCTGAGACACACTGATGAATGCAAAATACAAATAACACAAACGCATTGCTTGAACGATACGTGTCTGAAAGTACTCAATAAAGACATATGTTTGTTCCCCTAGTCCTGGGCAAATGCCGAATGCAGTGAAAAATCTGCATGTACGAGCGAAAGAAAGAAATTGCATGGCATGGGTCCAGTTAGGCAGTTTAGCAGCTAAGCGCCGCGTGACCCTATGAAAATC